TTAGAGTTACATTTGGACTGGACGTACTCTGAGAGATTCTAGAAGTCACGATCCTAGTGATTAGGCAAGTATCATCTCTATGTAGTATATTTTGGTGGCTCAAAGGTTTATATGTATTAAAAATCTCCAACATGACCAACCAAAACAGTTATCTGACGAGTGCATAGCTAAATCGTTTTGTCCGGATTAAGGAAGACGAGCACTGAGATTTATCTCTAAGAGCGAAAGTAACTGCAGATAACTTTTGAATCATGCTCTTTCCTTTCCCGTTAAGTAATTACGTCTAAGTAAACGGCTTCCACTTTGATTAACAGTTCCCGCCAACCTTTTCGTTATGTGCATGCTCTTATATACCGGTGGTATAGCCAAGTATCAAGGGCCTCTTCATTAAACCCAGTAAACGGTGTGGCTAAGTTAGAGAAGTAAACTTTTTCCATCCTTTACTCCATACATTTTCAGCCCCATTATCACTCTTACATTTCAGAACGGTTATTATTTACCATCAGAAATTCGACTTTGGTTGAGGTAACTGTGACCTTTTTGTATTTCTCTGACCAATGGTGCTTGGGTGTTCTTCCTGGAAAATTTATGTTGTCCATCACCCCCCCCTCCCCCTCTACCCACTTTGTGAGGTCTCAGTAGCTCTATTACGAAAAAAAATAAAAAATTTTTATGAGGTATATTCTGGCCAGGGGAGACCAGTTTCATTTGAAGAGGCTCTTGCACTGGTGTATAGTTTTCATACCCACATCCTGTTCAGGAACTTCTCCACTTATCTTCCTCTTAGTGATATCTTTATGTGAAGCGAGAAAAAGCACCACATTGCCTTTCTCGTTCTTGATTGGAACAATGTCTAATAGACACCAAAATGGGGATCCTGAAAGATGATTATTATTTGAGGCATAAGTGCACATAATTAGCTGTTTCACATACAAGATTGAAAAACAACAAAGAGTTACTACTGACAATGAATTCTAAAATTTTAAAATTTCCAAGCAATGACAAACAACAACAAAAATCAGTGGAGCAAATGTGTTGATGGTATCTGAAGCCAAATTATTCCTTCTGTAGCAGTTGATGGTATCTAAAGCCAAATTATTCCTTCTGTAG